TATTTAGAAACAAGCGATTTATTGGATTTATGTTTATTTTTATTGTTTAATGTGGCATGTTACTTTATGCTGCACTTCTCCCTATGTAAATTTAGAATATATTTATACATACTATTCGGATATATATGTATATACACATATATATATATATGCATTTATATGTATATATGTATGTATATATATATGCATTTATATGTATATATGTATGTATATATATATGCATTTATATGTATATATGTATGTATATATATATGTATGTATATATGTATATAAATATATGTATGTATATATATGTATATATATATGCATGTATATGTATATATGAATGTATATATATATATATGTATGTATATATATGTATATATATATATATATATATATATATATATATATATATATATATATATATATATATATATATATATATATATATATATAATTATTCAATTATAATACTTAAGGTGCTGAGATTAAAAGATGAGATTTTGAAAAAAAACGTATAATTGAACAATTATATTTATTTTATATTTCAAATTAATTGGAATATACATATAAATTTGTTCTAAGAATACCATTACAAGAAAAAAAATTTAACTGTAATACTTGGACCAAGAAATTAAGAAAGAAAGACATTTTCAAAATCTCTTTACATGAAAAACGCTTCCATAATCAATTGCTTTACTAATATATCCCTAGTAAAGAGTGTTTTTTTCCAGGTATAGAAGTTTAAGTTGGCATTACTTTCCAAGATGGCGAACGATTTAACAGCTGTCAAGTGATTTATTCTCAGTTTGGTTTGGCAATTCATTATGAATAGACTCACGCTTCATAGAGATACGTCGAATGGCCCCAAAACGAGATTGCCGTTGTTCCCGATTTTCATAAGCGAATTTTGTTTAGCGATGAAGTGCACTTCTGGTTGAATGGCTACGTCAACAAACAAAACTGCCGCATTTGGAGTGAAGCTAATCCACAAGTGTATGTCAAAACACCGTTACAAAACACCAGAAAAACTGACTGTTTGGTGCGCTTTATGGGCTGGTGGAATCCTTCTTCAAAAACGATGAAGGCCACAACGTTACAGTCAATGGTGATCGGTATAGAGCCCTGATGACTAACCTTTTCATTCCTGAATTGAACAATCATGATGTCCAGGAGCTGTGGTTCCAACAAGACAGCGCAATATGTCACACAGCTCGTGCCACAATCGATTTATTGAAAGACACGTTTGGTGACCGCCTAATTTCACGTTTTGGACCTGTGAATATGCCTCCAAGATATTGTGATTTAACACCGCTAGACTATTTTCTATGGGGCTATGTAAAGTCATTGGTCTATGCGGATAAGCCACAAACGCTTGACCATTTGGAAGACAACATTCGCCGTGTTATTGCCGATATACGGCCACAAATGTTGGAAAATGTCATCGAAAATTGGACGTCCAGATTGGACTACATCTGAGCCATCCGTGGCAGTCATATGCCAGAAATCATATTTAAAATGTAATGCCACAAGATTATCTTTCGAATAAAAAGAAATTCATTTCAATCGAATAATACATCGTTGTTTTATTGCAATTTAAAATTCTATACCTCTAAAAAAAACACCCTTTATTTTTTTACAGACCTTGACTTATAACTTTTAAATAAATCACATTTTCCGAGTTGCGATCAATTGAAATATTAACGGGTGTTTTTTATTAAAATTTCTCGACTCTGTTGCAATAAAATATGAATAAACCCATTTCTAAATTACATGTTTCAAATATATTAGTTTCGACCTATATAGATATATAGGTAAAATATAATATTATCATAGAAGCATGTTTCCTAAAGGAGAATGCTATGAAAATTTCTTTTTTTTCTTCATTTTTTAAAAGTGAGTGAATATTAACGTCGCAGTATTCAGCTACATAAGGGCTTTTGGCGACGGATCACGTAATTTTGAACCATGGTCAATTGACGTGACCCCCCTTTTTTTCCTAACTGGCACACCACACCAACAGCAGGGCGCTTCAGGTCTCGACAAATTTAATACGCATCGCTGCCCTACATGGCGGGATTTTAGTGGTACTGGGCTCGAACTCATGGCATGCCTGTCATGATACGATACCTTGACCACTGGGCTACCACAGCCCTTTGATTTTTGACAAAATATATCAATTAAGTATTTTTTCCTTTAATAATATTCTTAAAACAAGTTTATATGCATATTCTAATGCAACTGACGCTAAATATCAAAAAATTATTCATTTATACACATTCAATATCATGATTCCAAATGAAGTCATGTAATAAAATAAAATGTTAAAACAAAAAGAAAACTCTATGATCACCAATAAGCTCATCGGATACTATGTGTCTTTTCTTAAACTTTCATATTTCCCATAGGGTCCACCTGGAACCCGTTCCGTATTCTTAAACTAAAACTTCGTTTTCTCTCTTTCTGTTATAGTACTTCTTCAATCCGCTTTGTATCCCATTTTGTATGTAATTCTAATTTTTTTTATTTCTTTGAAACCTGTTAAAAGTAATTTTACTCTTCTTTTAATACTAAACATACTTTGTAAATTTGTCTTTAAAAAATCGTTGTGAGCCTTTTTAGTTTGCTGAAGTTTCCTTTACTTTCAAAGACACTGAGTTCACCAGCAATCCATTCGACTGATAGGGATTACATTGGTGCTGGGCGGCCGTTTATGGACCCTTATATCTCCTCCGAGAAGATAGGGGACGGCCCGGAAATAGCCTTTTAAGCTCTGCAGGGGAGATACTATCTATTGAGACAATCACATTGCGTTTTGTGTGTTATTGGTTGACATTTTGGGATTATATGGATTGATACGTGCAAAGAATTGTTTTCTACGAACCAACTGGTAAGAATAAAGGCATTCGTTTGTTTTATACATGCACGCATTTTTGATTCTCTCTATGTCCTTAAATATTATATATTGGTATGAGGAATATATAAATATTCTATCTTCACTGAACGCTGGAATTTATCTCTGTTTAGAGTACCATATATTTGAATCATATATACATAAAAAATAATTGTATGTAAAGAAAAGCAAAATAATTAAAATTCGTTACTTATTTCTTTATTCTCAACACATCATCTGTGTACTATCTAAAAGAATTTACAACGTTACAAAATTATTAGCTTAATCTAAAAGTTTCGTCACATTTAAATTTTTTTTAACAAAAATTAGAATAGTCTCTATATATAAACATTCAATATATAGCATTCTGTACTCCTAGATTTTCTTCAAAATAATTTAAGTACGTGTATAACAACTCAGCAATAAGTGTAAGTTAAGTAATATACCAAAATGCTTTAATTTCATAAGTGCAAAACATGAATGAAAGTATAGCCAGGCAGTTTAGAAGGAAATAATTAGCTGCAGTATTACAATAGTATACTCATAACATTAGGAAGTATGAATGCAGGTTTAAATATTGTTTTGAGGCCAGTCGAACTTCTCTTCCACTTTACTTATACTATTAGGCTGTAAGGAGAGGAAGTAGAAGTATGAATAAGTCATTAATATAAGATTGAATTAAATACACTAATGCTAATATTGATTAAAATTACAAGAAAATAAAAATATAACGAACTCTTCTTACGCAATATAGGCAAGTTAAAATTATGCAACTATATAGTGAAGGGGCGCACACAAGGGGGGGTCCTGGGGGTCTGTACCCCCCAAACCTTTGATTTTTTTTCCGATTGACTATAATTCTAAGTATATAGTACGTAAAAATTAATTAAATATTTGTTATTAAAGATTAATTTTATTGATTAATACTAATTATTTATTCAATAATTAGTTTTTTTATTGTGTTTTGTTCCTGAAAATCGACAGAATCAAAAGGAATCTGATACAAGAATGGTGAACTTTCGACCCCGGTCCCTCTCCTTGAGAAATTCCTGTGTGCGCTACTGATATAGCGCAATTAAAACACTTAATTATACCCCAGAAGAGCAGTATGGTATAAAATGAAAAACTAATAAATTAATAAAATAATTTATTATTATTGGTTTGTATAATTAAATATAAATATTTTATAGGAAAAAAATTTTGAAAGAAAGCGTACAATCAATCATTTAAAACAAGACAGTGATAAATCAAAACAAATTTAAAAATATTTAAAACGGAGCCCATTCTTTTGAATGTATTCAGTGGAATAAATGAAAAACAACGTTCAAAGAAAAAATATATCTAAAATCTATTGAGATATTAATATGAATAAAAAAAAAAAACGTTTGTGTACTGATGTACGCACGTAAGAAGTTATATTTCTTTGACCTAACAAGGTTAAAATATTTCTAAAAATCTTGATCAGGGCAAGCTGGGCCAAGAACGAAAGGAGGTCACGAGCAGAGTTGAACGATACTTACCTTCAGTCAATTGGACCACAGTCAAACCCGAGATGATCCCGATTTAAATAAATTTAAACACTCCCCCCCCCGCACGGGGACAATAGGACCAATAACGAAGGAGGGTTTCGGAAGACTATATCTGGAGATGAGCTGAACCGAATGTGACTCCTGAGACCTCATATTAAATGTCTTGACATGAAGAATCGTTCCTAAGAAAATTAAGACATCTGCCTGAAGAGCCCCCAAGTTATGGTCATTTTAAAGTTATTAAAGCATTTTAAACAATTAAATAAAATAGAAGCAGGTCACCCAGAAACTCCAAACTCAGCTGGGTTATGAGGAAACCCAAGAGGAATCCATTCGAACAAGTCCGATTGATGGATTGCTTGATTTTATGGCACAAGAGCCAGATTAGGCTAAAATGCGCCAAACAATGATTTAAAAAAATATTACAATTCTGTGAAAATTGATTTTAATAAAATACGTAGTTTGATTAAGTCAGATTATACTCAAAAGGCTTCAAAAAGTTTCAATTAATGGGAAAAAATTATAGAAATTTTTTAAAAAAATGTAAAAATGGTCATGATTTTCATAAAGCGAATAAATTAATTCATTTATTAAAAGATCAGCTCAGTGATAGAAAGTTCGACTGCCGATCGAGAGGTCCCCGGTTCAAACCCGGGTGCCCCCTTCTTCAGGGAAGTGAAAAGAAATAATTTTTTTCAGAATTTCGAAGGCGGGAATAATCTGTTCCGTGCCGTATATTTCCAGGCAAAGCATTTTCGTATCCCTTTCTACGGAAACGAAAAAAAAAATGTTCGCTGACACGGGTAGTATAGCTCAGTGGTAGAGCATTCGACTGCAGATTGCGAGGTCCTCAGTTCGAACCTGGATGTTCCCTTCTTCAGGAAAGTGAAGAGGAACATTTTTCTGAGGATTTTGAAAGCGGGAATGATCTGTCCCGTTCTGTATACTTCTAGACAAAGCATTTTCACATCCGTGATGTTATGCGTCACATCCGTGGCGGTGTGCGCGCGCATCCTAAAAATTTACCCTCATCCTTCTTCCCAAACGCCCAAAACGAAGTATAACTTCAAAAATAAAATACAAAATCAATAGAAATAGTTTTGGAAATTTGTCATATATGAAACTTGAACCAATTAGAAATGCAATCATGAAGAAAATTAATAGGATGCTCATGTTATATACCAGGATGGTGAACCTTTTTGGATCAACGTGCCATTTTTTCTTTAAGATATGTTTAATGAAGTACATACGTGCCATCAAATATAGTTTTGACTTAATTTTGATTTTAATGTAATTTTGAAAATAATAAAACTAAATACCCACATCACAAAATTCTTTATTTACTTCGAAAATATACATTTTGCACTGTATAGTTTTAAAGGCTTCAGTTATACGTGTAATTAAATTTAAGTAACATTAGAGTGACTTCTGTTGTTGCAGATTATATATAGATGACAAATAAGTTATGTTAGGATTGTAAAATGTTACTTTTAACAGAATGAATGTAGAATTGAAGTCATCTGCCAAATGGTTTCTAGTGAGTCTTTAATGTTATTCATCTCTGAAAATAATCACTCACAAGCATATGTACATGGAAATATGATTAAAATAGCACAAGCTAGCTTCTTAAAACAGTTAAATGTGTCTGGAATCGAATTCCATGTTTCCAAAATTTCGTTAATGGCATTTTTACTTATATTGCTTGTTATATTGTATTCTTTCTGTTTCAATTAATTCCAACTTTTCCCTTGTTTCAATAATTTTTTTGAATCCATATTGAACTGGACTAGAAATCAATAAGTTGTATTTCAAATTTTTCAATTTCCAATTAATCGAATTGGAGCAAGTTCAGTTTATCAAATAATGTCACATTAAGCTACATAATGTACTTGAGCTTTTCTTACAATTCTTTGAAATGAGAAAATTTCACTTTAAACTCCTTGATTGAAGAATCGATTATGGAAATAAATTATTTATAACTACATCTTTGTCTGGATTCTCATGTACAGGTTTTATCTTTGAAATTGTTTTTCAAGTTTGGGGTTACTTGCAATAATATAGTTTCTGAACTAAAATGCAAAATGTTTTCATCGGTGGCGTGCCCAAAATATTGTGCCGCGGGCCACCAATGGCACTCGTTCCAGTGGTTCGTTATCTCTGTTCTACACAATAATTAATGAACAGTAAGATTTATTATGATTTTTTAAAAATTTATCATTAACTACGCGTTGTTACGATTTACATAATTAATAATGATATTTATATGAAAGGGAATTGGAATGCATGCATTCCAGAAGGGTACATTGAAAATATTAAAATAAAAACCATCTACTTTAGCAAATGTATATCTATGAGTTTTTTTATCCCTAATATACAACGGCCCATCAAGTTAATCAGTTTAATTATGACTATCGTTAGTTTTGCTTAAGTTCAAGTAGTTATTATAAAATTTTATATTGGAGAGAGAGGCAATAGTTATATCTACACTACTAAAATTCATATATATACAAAAAGAGGTTTTTATTTTTAATTCAGTGAATAAATCATTATTCAAAAGAGGATTGTTATTTGAGTTTATAACTACAATATATTTCTCACATACATATCAATGTACTAAAAAAGTTATGATAAAATTTTAAAATATTTTCTTTCAATTAATGTGTATTATCACAGGCACAATTTGTCCAAGAATTCTGATCATACAATATTAATAATTACATAGTTACAATACAAACATGCTTTACTTCAAAAAATATCCTTATTACTAGACCTTATTTGAAAGAGTTTGTACGTGCATATGTAAAACAAAAAACCTTTTTCGCCCTTCAAAATTAAAAAAAAATAGTTTCTATTCAACTGAACGATTAGAAGTCAGCAATAAGTAACTAAAGTTATTTGGGAGAATTATATTTTCTAACATTCCAAACTTACGAAAAGTTAGGAAGAACTGCCTCGCCTAGTTCTATGTAAACATGAGAATGTGTTGACCAACTTCACGAAACCTTGACCCAAATCAATAAGCTACTTCGTCTGTTGATTATCACACTCCTGCACCCCTATGAGTTTCATGGGAGAGTAAACAAATATAGTAGCCAGAAATTAAAGACTCCAGACGTATGATAGTATCATAAGGTAAAAAAGTAACTTGAGAAATTTTATCTTCTCATTGGTTCTTTTTTTTGTAATGTACCCAACTTCATATTAGTATTATCACATAGACAAATAATTGGTCTGTTATACAATTTTATTGTTTATTTATAATACAGAAATTAATTTTCAAGATTGGTAATGAAACGGGAAGAAAACTAATATACAGGTGTTTATTAAAATACTGGAAACACTTTAGATTTATAAAGAATCCTTCAATTATATGGTAATTTGCATGTAATACAGCTTGAATTTGCATAGGAATTGATTCATACAAGAGCTGAAGGGTTTTAGAAAGAATATTGTACCATTCTTCATATAAATGTTGGGAAAGTCCTGTGAAATATACCAGGGGAGGATATGGGTTCCGTATAGAATATTCTAAAATAGACCATAACGGCTCAATTATTTTGAGATCGGTTGGCCATGCGGCACAAGGTTAATGTTTAACTTCATTCTCGCTTTCAGCAAACTATGTTTGGACAAGTCCCATTGCACATAGATAGGGGTATTATTATCCTGAAAAATTATATGTTCTGCAGGAAACAAAGTCTCCATACTTCTCCTTAGGGATCCTTCCTTTCAGAGTTACGATGTGCATAGCAGAAACCCACGACATGGCTGCACATATCTTAATAAATCCACCTCTACACTTGACAGTTGGAAGGAGACAATCACGATTACACGTTGTGTAGGTGTCTTCGAAATGTGCACCCGTTTTGTTGTAGGGAACAGTGTGTGAATGACGATTCGTCAAAATATATTATTTTTTTCCCTTATTAATCGACTAGGTTTTATGAGTGTGACACCACTACAGAAATAATGTTTGGCATTAACATTTGTGACAAATGTATTGGTAATTGCAGCTTTGCCATAAATGTTCGATTTTTGAAGGTGCCTTCTAACTGTAATTGTTTGACACTGGAGAATTCAGATGCTGTTTGAGCTCTGTGGTCACTTTTGCTGCATTTGTTCACTTTTTAAACATTACAATCAATTTCAATATCCGTCGGTCTATTTCAATTAGCTTCCCTTTCTATCCAATATTTTGCCTTGCTTAACTTGTCTTGCCACTCTGTGTGCATTATTTCATGATGTAAGACACCATGCCTCTACAAGTGCCTAAAAGGTGGAATGTTTCGGCCACAACTACTCCTACAATTTGGCATCTTCGAAAATCTGAGAGAGGTCCGACAGTTTACACTTTTGAAAAAATTCAGCACCATAAATCTATACCACCAGCTACTAAAATATATCAATTTATTTTAATACAATAACCTGGTAGCTAATTATTATATTTTATTGCTGAAGAAGCGCATTAAAAATATTTTCTATTCACAAGTTTTTCCATTATTTTAATAACCACCAGTATATTGAAGATATCTCATTTTCTTAGGGATAGGTAGTTGAATCTAGATGAATTAACCTGAATCAGTCCATCTGTACGGGAAGATCTTCAGTAGTTTCCACAATCGAACTCATGAATAGATAAAGCCACCTCCAAGTTCGTGATCATGAACATTTTAGCGAACGAGCCTATTGTAGAATATTAAGTTTGCCCTTTAATTTACGTTGAATATTTCAAATCTCTAGAACTTAGGATTTTCTTTTTAGTGCGAAATAAAAAAAAAATTCTTAATAAGTGCTCAAGGTGAAATATACAGAGTGAGTGCAAATGATGGGCCTGATTTTAAAAATATCAAATTTTCGAAAGTACTACATGTATTACAATACATGAATGTAAAGAGAAATACATCAAGATTTTTTCCTCCAATTGACTTGCTTATTTAAGATCACTCTGATTGAAATCCAAACATGACGACAATAACAGAGAAGAGTTTTTGCGTATTAGAGTATGCACTTGTGTTTCCAGTTACTTTGGTGCAGCGTTCATTTCTAAATCGCAACCAACCAGGAAGAATATTCTGCTATGGTATGACCAATTTAAGGAAAAAGGTTGCTTGTGTGAAAAGAAAAGGAGCCGCTGACCAAGCGTCTTGGAGGGAAAAGGGGAGAAGGTGAAGGACGAATTTAATTCCACGGAAGTCTACAAAGTTTTCCAACTGTGAACTTGGAATACCCCAGAAAACCACATAGAACATTTTTTAAAAATTAAAAACCGTATGATTTACAATGGAGGCAACAAGTAACCCAGGATGAAAGTTAAACATTTGTGCAGCTTTACGATCTATTGATAGAACTGGATTACAGATTGGACGTACGCCGTGTAACAAATAGGTCATATTTAATACATTTATAAAAGAAAAAAAACTTGATTTATTATTTTTTTTACATTCACTTATAACTAATTATAATATATGCAGTAGTTTCGACAATATGATTTTTTAATATTAGGTCAATTACTTGTAATAACTTTTATTTCTGACTAATCTCGGTACTGCCCAGCAAGGCTAGACAATCCCCATGAATCCGAAAGTCTGTAAAAATCTAAAAACAGCAGTGGGTCGCAAAGGACCTCGTCCTTTTTATAACCCGAACAAAGTAAAATATGATTAGGTGAGGCCTCCCCGGAAGAACACCATTGGCATTCCAGAAAAGTCTTTTGCCCATTAGAGAATGTGAGAGCCCTTGTGTGTCCACTCAAAAATCTAGAATAAGTAGATAGGAGAGGTCTAAAGGACTCGCCCGGACATTTAGCAAAGTACCATGCATGACTGGGTGGAGTTTTAATTTGTCGGTTGAGCTCCATTTAGAAATTTTGGAAAT